CTTGCCAGGGAAGCGCTTAGTCCACTGAGCCATCTCCCCAGCCCCCAGGAGTTAATTTTCTGACAGGAGTTAGAAACGTGTCCCGCATGAGGAGGACATACCCTATAAACATTTGGTCATCGTTTTGTTTTGTTTTGCTTTTGAGACAGGGTCTCACAGTGTAGTGTAGGCTGGCCTTGAACTCACTTATGTAAACCAGAGTGGCCTCCAACTCATGGTGATTCTCCTGCCTCAGCCTCCTGAGTGCTGGGATTACAGGTGTGCACCCCCATGCCGGCACATTTGGTAATTTTTTTTTTTTTTTTTTTTTTTTTTCTGGTCCTGGGGATTGAACTCAGGACCCTGCGCCTGCCAGGCAGGTGCTTGTTACACTGAACTGTCTCCCCGACCTTTTCAATGGGTTAAACATTTGGAAATTTCTGAGTCACCCAAGAGGTAGCCCCTCACCAGCAGACTGTAAAGTCCTTTGCTGGCATTGAAAGAGCTTAAAGCCCAGACTGGAACTGAGTGGGTGGCCCAGTGGCCAGCTGAGGACAGCTGGCTCTCCCGAGGGAGGGCCTCATCCGTTCTCGCCGTGGCCAGGGTGCTTGGCCAGCATGACTCACAACCTAAAACATCCCCCATTCACCATCTCCTTGAAGGTGTCATTGCCACCCTTGGACAAATGTTTACTGCTGCCTTATGCTGGGGTGGGACTGTCATTCCACAATTTGAGTCAAGCTGCTGGCCCAGCCTCCAGAAAATCATGCACCCACAGGGCTGGCCCGGGAGCTCCGGTGGCTCCAGAAGCAGAGGCCCAAGGCGTGGTGAGGGTGGCCCGGAGCAGCAGGCTGGCCTTGGAGCTCTGTGCGCTGAGGCAGCCGGGTGCCTTCCGGATGGAGGCCTTTGTCCTGCAGGGCACTTGGGCGAGATCCAGGCTGAGTGCTGGGGAGCGCTGCTGGGGTGTCCTGAGAGGCTGGATTTGGAGAGGAGAGACTGAAAGGCCCCCCTTTCCCAGCAGACCGTGGTCTAGAGCTGCTTCTGCTATCAGTGAGGGTGCAGTGGGCCCAGGACCCCAGCGCTTGACAGACTCCTTGTCCTCCTGTGGGTCACCAGGCTGCTCCTCCCTGCCCAGGGCCAGTTGTCAGGCCTCTGGAGAGAGCCCAGAGGTCACACCTGCTGGGGCAGAGGCTGCCTGCAGCTGCAGGAGGTGACCGTGTCCTCCAGGGAACACGGTTTCCTGAGCACCAGGGAGGTTTTCTGCCACTTTACTTCAGGGGAGACTAGCGTTATGTGAAAAGGGATGTGTAAGTAAGCATGCATAAATGACAGTTCTTGAAGGTTCATGGGTGGAAAGGTCACCCAGTTCCCTAGCTAGAAGGTGGCAGAGTTGGGAGGAGAGCCAAGCACTGTCCCCAACGGACAGCCGGCGCGCCTGATCACACACCCCACATGGCCAGGAGCTTTGGAAGGAGAGCCTGGTGGTCAGCATTCTCCTTGCTCGGCCTGGGCCTCGTCCTCGCCTGGCTGATGTCCCACTGTCCTCCCTGGCCCTGGCCGGGCAGTTCCTCTGCTCGTCACATCCAGCTGCCTCTCCACTCACTGTGTGCCCTGGAGTTTGTCCCGTCTGTACCCAAGGACCAGGGTCTCCCCTGCCCCCTGGCCCTGGTCGCCTGCTCCCGCCCACCATCCACGTCCAGCTCCTAAGTGGGAAGCCCCATCGGGTCAGTGGACTCGCAGGTGAAGCTCGCAGGCGCCCCGGCTGGCGGCAGCTCCCGGAGATGAGCGCCTGCGCCCTGGGAGCGGCTCTGCTGCGGGCTGTGGGCTGGCCTCTGGCCCGGCCTGAGGCGTCTCGGGGTCTGCGTGGGCCCAGAACTGACAGGGACAGCGCTGCTTTTCTGTCGCAGAAACAGCAAAGACCTCTTCTGCCACAGGAATAGAAGCCTCGGTGTGCAGCTGGGCCTTTGGCCCAAGAGCAACCACGTCTCTCAGCCTGCCCTGTAGCCTGGCTTAGTAACTTTGGCTTTGTACTCTGACTTGGTAACTGCTGTATCAAGGACAAAAAACCTGACACCACGACTCAAGGACAGAGAGGTTGATTTGGACTCACACGTAAGTCCACTGTTGGCTGGATCCAAGGCACAACAGCATGGCAGAGGGGCCTGGCGCAGGAGAGCTGGGCAGAGCAAGGGGCACGGGGAGCAGAGGGTGAACGGGAGTAAGAGCCCGCCAGGCCCCGCCCCAGGACCGCCTCTTCTCATGAAGCCCCGCCCTCAGGACCACCTCTTCCCAAGGGTCCGCCCCCAGAACCTCATCTTCTCACGACACCTCGCTTCCTAGCAGCAATCAGCTATGATCCCAATAATCCAATCATCTTCCAAAGCCCCACCTACAATCATCTGTGGCTCTGGCAGACATCTAGATCTGACCACCACCCCCTATAGCCCAGTGACTAATTGTTAGCCAGTGGAGCCTGTCGGAAGAGTTAAGGGCGTGTTGTAGGTCCTGTCCTAAAATAGTTTGGATCTTAAATATGTTTAAAGCTTGGACCCCAGAGGCAGCTCTACTGGGAGGTGGTGGAGACTCGAGGAGGCGGGGCCGGTGCAGCAGCGGGGGTGGCCCCCGGAAGGGGCTTTCTGACCCCCCGGCCCTCTGCTCTGCCTTGTCAGCCAAAGCCAACAGCTCTCTCCGCAACAGCCTTCTGCCGCGAGGTTCTACCTCACCACGGCAGACGCAATGGGGCCCGTGCACCGTGCCCTGGAACCTCTGAGACCGTGAGCCAAAACAGGGCCTTTCCTCCTTTAACTTGATTCTCTCAGGTCTGAGGTCTGAGGGTGATCCAAAGACACCGTGAGTGTTGCAATTGAACAGCTTCTTGGACTAAGAGACACAGGGCCGCCCCTCAGGACCTCCCCTCTCTCTTTGCGCGCACTCATCCCATCTCCTTGCAGCTTCCTGAAGCAGTTCTGGCAGCAGTCCTGTGTCCTGAGGGTTGTGCTGCCGCGGCTGCCTTGATGTCCCAAGGCTATTAACGTATTTGCTTTTGACCGTCATGGTGACTCTGAGACTGGGTTAGGAGTCACTATCG